TCCAGCCCCAGCCGTGTCCATCCCCAGCCATGTCCATTCCTAGCCGTGTCCATCCCCACCCCTGTCCATCCCCAGCCCTGTCCATCCCCAGACGTGTCCATTCCCAGCCGTGTCCATCCCCAGTCGTGTCCATCCCCAGCCCTGTCCATCCCCACCCCTGTCCATCCCCAGTCGTGTCCAGCCCCATCCCTGTCCATCCCCAGTCGTGTCCATCCCCAGCCGTGTCCAGCCCCAGCCGTGTCCAGCCCCAGCCCTGTCCAGATGTGCCTGCAGCCCGGGTCCACGGGGAGCCAGCCTGGTGGGCTGCAGCGAGCAGGGCTTGGGTGGACATGGCTCTTCCCAGCGCCTGGAAGGGTGCAGTGCCCATCCCGGTGCCGTGGAAGGTTGCAGTGCCCATCCCAGTGCCCTGGAAGGGTGCTGCGCTCATTGCTTGCCTTGCAGGGGTTATCAGCAGCAATGCTCTCCTCCCTCGACAACCCAGAACGCGTTCCCCGCATCACAGATGTGTGCGTGAGGAGGGGGCTGCTGAGAGGAGGTTTTTGGTGAGGGTCACTGCAGTCAGATTTTGGCTTCTGCGCTGCAGACGTGCACCCAAGCCGTGTGGCCTCCTGCACCTGCTTTGAGCAGCGCCATGCAAACCCTCAGGGCAAGTCAGGCACTTATCATCCCTTCCCTGGTCGTGTCCCTGACGAAGCTGAAGATGTGGGACCCGCCAGTCCCTTTGGCCTCCAGCGCGGACGGAGGTTTCCCTGCAGAGGGGCCAGCCCTGTCGCCCAGCTCTCCCCGCCTGGCCTTGGCTTTGGCCGCTGCCACAGCGATGTACTTGGTGACGATGGTGATGTGGTAGGACCTGAAGTCCGCCAGTGCAGAGATGCACTGGTTGAAAGCCGCGCAGAGCTGCGCATCCCCGGAGGAGAGCACGTGCTGCTTCAGGGAGGGGGCACGGCGGATCTCCTCCACAAAGGCTCTGTGGGGCGGGGGCATGTAGTCCCTCATCCTGTGCAGGAAGGCGGCTGCAAGACACCAGTAAAAGGAAGAAATAAGTTGCGGGTGAATGGGTTAAAGCGCCTGGATGCTCTCAAAGAGCAGCCAGCCTGGAGCTCTGGTGCTGGCACGGTCTGCAGGGACCACCGCGCTGGATGGTACCCGACAGCATGCCCAGCCTCCCAGCCTCCTCTGTCCTGTCTCAGTGCCTCCAATTAATTGAGAAAGAAAACCCATATTAGGTCAATGCTCTGTTAGGGTTGGTCTTAACCCTAAAAGGCAGGGTTTAGCCCTTGCTCTCAGCCTTTTGGTTTCGGGTTGTTCGGGAATTTTTTTTTTTGCTATTAGAGTGGTTTTGCTAATTTCTGATAAATATACTCTGTTATGGGCCAGACTAATGAGAAGCTATGTGAATGGATGTGCTAAATTACTGGCAGGATGCTGGCGTGCTCTGCTCTCTCATCTCTGTACCCATATATAACCTCAATAAAAAGTTGACACGCAAAAAGCAAAATCTGTCCATCTGAGAATTTACAGAGGCGAGGAAGTGCCTGCCAGAGCCTCGTTTATAGACTTCCTCCCTAACGAACTGGGCAGAGCCTCGTCCCCGCTCTGTGAGCATTTTGCAAGGGCAAGATGGGTGCGCGTCTTCTCAACTGGCAGAGCTGGGCACGGCCACGGGAACAGCTCTGGCTCGGTTCTTCCCCCGCCCCTTATTTACTTCGGAAAAAGGAAAAGCGTGTGACTTACTGCTCTCCTCGCTATGGCGAATCCCCAGGAGCTCATCAAAAGCGTGAAGGACGGTGCTCTGTGCTGCGCTCCCTCCCGAGTACGCCATGGGCTCGTCAGATACACCTTCGTATATCAGCCCGTCTGGCATGGCCGGGTTATCTTTCCAGCTGAGTGGGAAGACACGGCAGTCAGGCAGGGAAGGCCATGGGGCGGCTGATAATGGGGCAGGGGGCTGCGAGAAGGGGCCCTGGGCTGGCAAGATTGAGCGAAACCTTCCTGACCTGGCCCATGGATCTCCTCCTCCTTGCTCAGCCTTGTCAGCTGTCCTCAAATGTGAGATAAAGTCGGAAATCAAACGCTGTGTCGAGGCGCACGACAAGGTCATGGATGTAGGGAGAAATCCTTAATTATCCTTTGCCTAGGAGCTAGGGATCGTTCTATGGGATTGCTGCGCACTGGTGAGCACCCCATGGCGTGTCCTGGGACAGGCTGCCCTGTGCCGTGGCTGCTCCTCCATCTCCGACTCGGGTCCTGGCTCGGGCAGGTGCTGCGTGGCTTTTGCACGTGCAGAGCTGCTTTGGGTGTGCAAGAGGGGAGGGGGCACTTGTCTGGGCAACAGTGGCACCTGACATTAATTCCTTGAAATCCTGGTAGCCTCTGAAGGAGAGCTGCCCAAACACTCTTCCAAGCCCTTGGAGTTTGTACTCTGGATTTTAGTCTGTTCTTGTTACTCTTGAGATGATGTCTTTAAAGACAGCGCAGGACAGCTTGCCTTTATTTATTTCAGCAGAGAAGCAGCCTGTAATGTGATTTCCTCCCTCTCATAAAGCTGCTCGTCCTCAGCAAGCCCAGGAACCAGGCAGCGTCGGTGCCTCCCCCCCCGTACACCATTAACTCACAGCCCCTGTCAGCTGGCTTTATGAGCCTGTTGTGCAAAAATGGATAAATGCTCGCTCACAAATGGAAAGAGGAGTTATAATTTCAGAGAGATAATGTGCCTGGCACAAAAATATCTCTTGACCTTCTGAAGAATGCAGCATTTCATGAAGCTTTTGGTGCTGGCTGCTAAGGCTGTTTGAGGGATGGAGCAGATTTTGCACAAAATTCAGAGAAAATAGATTCATTATCAAATACCGTAATATTTTTAGCTCTCCCAGGGATGTATTTATAGTAACCTTTACTAGTGGGAAGTTCTTATAAGCAGAAGAGAATTTAAAAGGCATGTTTTTCCAGGCTGATGACCATCAAGACAAGGTCAGCTTGGATAAAAAATGAGAGAAACATAATCAGGATGCATGGAGCCTTCTGACTTAGGAATGCTGAGATATGCTGAAGAGAAACAAAAATAGAAACCCCCTGAGAAGCCGGGGAGCGGAGCTGTTGGGGATGCTCGCAGCCCCGCAGGGAAGATGAGGGATGCCAAACCTGCAGCACTGGGCTCTCGTGGCCGTGTTCCTGCCTTGCCCAGCTGACTTTTTTCAGTACTGGGGGGGGATTGGGTTTTTTAATTAATGGAATTGTAATGGAGCAACAGCAAGAGGCTCGTTATAGATGTTCCCTTAACACGCAGGGAGAAGAGACCCCCTGCTTGGCTTTGTAGCTTTGTGTGTACAGGGTGTGAAGTAAAGAGAAATCAGTCTCCTCCTGTCAAAACTGTTCGGGCCAAGCGCAGGAATGATTCATTTCTGCACAATTAAAGCTGTTGCAGCACAGAGACCATGCGGGGGCTAAGCTGAAGCGCGGGATGGAGAGAAGCTGGGGGGGAGGCAGACCCCAGCCCTTCTGCGCCGTCCTTGCCCAGCGGCTCCGGCTCCGCACGGCTGGATCGGGCGCCTGGGAGCTCTCTCCCTCGAGGGCAGCAGGGCTGCATCACCCTCGGGGCCACCGCTGCCGGACGCAGCGCGGGTTCCTTCCCTGCACCGCGGGACCCCGTGGTTCGTGCTCCTTCCCAGCACATTCCCTGCTCCCCCTCGCCCCGGGAGCTGCGGACACAATAGCTTTGGAGGGAAAGGCACCACACTTACCCGGAGAGAAAGATCCGGATCACAGCATAAAATACTGCTGGATCCACATAATCTAGGAGGAAATCAGATCACAGATGTTATTGCGGGAAAAGGCAATTAGTTCCCTCTGCAGCGGCATTTCCCGTGTGGCAGTGCTCCCCGTGCCCCCCGCCGCAGCCGAGGCGACCCGAACGTGCTCCGGGAAGGACCCGGCAGGAGGGGCCGGCACGTTGCATGGTGCTGGTGCCTGCTCCCCACGGTGGCCTTCCCCTGGCAGGGCTCCTTGAGGCACCGCTGTGCGCAGCGCAGCATCGGTGCTCAGAGCTGCTCAGCCCGAAACCATCCCACACTTTTACCCTGGGCCCGTTTGGGTGCTCAAACGCCATGTATCATCCTGGGAGCACTGAGCTTCCCCTGAATTACTCCTGCCTCCTCCCGCTCCATCCCTCTGGAGAGGCTTTATGGGCCACGTCCGAGCACATTTACGCTAACGCATTCAATGAGCAAAAGCGTGCACAGTGATGTAAGGACACGAGCTGCCCTCCAGCTGAAGGCTGCTGTTACCGTGCATCCGTTTCAAAGCCTGGCTCATGTCCCCGATGGCCTCTGCCAGCTCCTGCAGGGCTTTGTGCAGGGTGTCCTCATCGAGCTGCAGAATGGCACGAATGGCCTGAACGATTGCCTGCGAGAGGAGGGAGAGCACAAAGTGTTGAGGAGGCTGGGATGTCTGCGTACAGCAGCTCTGGATGCCCGCTACCACCCAGGCCAGCTCTGCCCCTTCCCCAGCCTGCGAGCAAGCGTGCAGGGGACGGGTGCACCTCGTGGGTGCGTGCCTGCGGGCGCTTTCCAGGCGAGTAAAGAGCTACGGGGCACGGCGGTACCCTACCTTAATCCCGGGCACAGCCGCCTTCTCAACCAGGAGGGTGACGAGGATGAAGCCTCGCAGGCTCTGTCCCCCAGGCAGCGAGATGATGGTGTCCAGGTTCCTGCAGAGGCGATGGCCAAATGTCCGGGGATTAGGAGGGCTCAGGATTTCCCTGCACACCCCAGGACCCGTTGAGCCCTTGGAGCAAAAACCTCCCGGCTGCAGAGCCTCTTATCTGCACCCCGGGCAGAGACAAGCTGGCACAGAGCAAAAGGGGAGAGGGGCTGCGCTGGTTCTGAGGGGTCCGCGACCCTCCCCATGCACTTGTTGGGCTAAAAGTCTGGCCCATGGCACGGGCTCTGCGTGGACTAGAGCAGCCCACGGTTCAGCCGCGGTCACGGCACTTTGCTGTTGTTGCAGTGGCATTTGTGTGCCAAAGACTGAGCTGTTTTTGTTGCGCTTGTATATCAAGAGATAAGTTCAACCTAAGCAGAGCCCTGCAGTGTTGGGGCGCTAAGCCAATTCAAACACAACTAATACTGTTAGAAAATAAATAAGCATCTTAAATACTTACTCAATTTCTAGAGGCCTGAAGGTATTTCGGTTATTGCCAACAAACGCACAAGAAAAGGAGAGAGAAAGAGAGACGTTATAAATCGTTCAGCAACGGCCTGTGCTCTGTGGGAGACAAGCGAGCTCGCTGGCCCGCGGGAAGCGCCGTGCCCGGGGGATGCTCCCAGGGGCACCTGGTTCCCCACTGGGCACCCCTGTCTGCGCCTGCAAATGCAGCACCAGCAGCCCCAGAGCGCACCGCTCCCCCCTGCCCGGCAAGACCCTTCCCCAGATCTTCTCTGTGAGACAGGCCCCCAGCGATGGTTTTTCAATGTTTTTTGGCAGAACAGGAGCGGTTTGGGAACCCTTCGTCCCTGTTGTGCTGGATGGGACTTGCTCAGGCTCTTCGCTGTTGCCCGGCTCGTGGGAGGAGCCGCGCTCAGTCTGCCGGCATTTGCCCATTTACCCGTTGGGGTTCTTCCTCCTCCAGTTGGCCAACACAAAGTCTGCGTGGCTGAGGATGGGGGGGAGGCCGAGGGCCTGTGAGACCTCCCAGAAGGGGACAGCGAGATTTCGGGGCAGGACCTAAAGGACACAAAGCACAGGAGAAGACGGGGACACTGTCAGGCTGGCGAAAGGTGCCCATCTACGGGCACCCAGCCAGGCAGGAGGGGTCATGCTCCTGCTGCCGCCTCAGGAAAGAGGCTTTGCTGCCATGGGATGAGAGTCCCCGGGGAGCAGCATCAGCTCCCAGAGCCCCAGGAGCAGGTGAACCTGCTCCACGTTGCTTTTACCTTCACGGCGCCCTCCTCGCCATCCTGCCAGAGGTAGCCCATCGTGATGAAGCTGAGCACCAGATGCGCCAAGTGCAGCTCCTTGCGCCCTCCGAGGTGCTGGGTGCTCAGCTGCGGCATCTGCCAGGGAGACCCTTGGGAGCAAGGGGCAGCGCAGGCGGTGCTGAGGGCCCCCCGCAGTGGGGGGCTGCCCCCCCAGCTGGGGAGAGACCCTCCTGGTTCCTCTCCCTGCCCTTGCCCTCTCCCCGCAAGCCTCTGT